CAATAAATTCACAGCTGTGCCAGTTATGGTGTGGACAGTGGACAGGAAGCTGTGGATGCCCCATCCTTGGAAGTGTTCAAGGCCAAGCTGGATGGGGCTTGGAGCAACCTGATCTAGTGGAAGGTTCCCTTCCTGCCTAATTGCATGAGGGTTTGGAACTAGATGATCTTTGATGTCCCTTCCTGCCTAATTGCATGAGGGGTTGGAACTAGATGATCTTTGATGTCCCTTCCAACCAAAACTATTCTATGATTCTAAGTGCAAACTCAGGATCTTTATAGTCACCACAAAGCCCTGTAATCCACTCCTGATGGATCTTGGCACAAGTGATCCTTGAGCTGCTTAGGCTGGGCTAGTTTTTGACACACCCAGAGAGAAAAATGGAAGCAGCCAAGGAAAGCCACATGAGCAGATACTTAGTGAGCTGAAGGGAGGGAAGTCAGGCTGTAATTTTGTACTGTTCTTGGCAGCCGAGTCCTTTCTTGAATGTTGTCCATAGTTTTTTAATGTGTTTGATTTACCTTTTGTGCAAAGGGTGCTGGAACATAGGGGAAGGATGCTGGTTCTGCACCACATGCACCACAGCAGACTGCAGAACAGATGCTCAACTCAGCCCATGAACTGGGTGGTATTGCAACACTGAACCCCTCTCTATTGCTCCCTTGCTGTCAGGTGCGAAGTTCATCCAGCTGTATATTTTGTCTCGAAATTAGGGCCCTGACCACATCCTCAGTGGGTGAACGTAACAAAAATGGCACCCAGATTTACCTTCTGATCATTTCCTGAGCAGCAGTTCAGAGGCTTAGGGAGCTGTAGGTTGCCACTGGTCCAGCTCATGTCCAATATTTCTAATTTGGGTCTTGCAATGAATCTTAAGTTCCACAACCAATTCTGCACTTTGTGAAAGTGGACTTGATTTCTTGTTTATTATTTTGCATCTTTCTTCTAGAAACTATGAAAAACAACTACTGCTAATGCAAAATAAGCAGCCTTGACACCAGATAGATAGTCCTGACTACTCAGATTCTAGGCTTGAATGTTTGATAACAACAGGAATCTTTCCAGAGTAGGTTCACCTTAAGACAGACATAGTGCACTCCTAGAATCCCATAGGCACATAAAACTATTCAGCCCTTTACTAAAGAACAGTAAGAAAAAAGGGTCTGTACAGTCTACTTATTTCACAATACTAGGCTGCTTCCAGTGCTTTTCCAGATGTCAAATTTCCTCTACATTCCCAATGCAGGAGCCAAACTCTTCAGCTTCTCTCTTTGACAATTTCCACTGTGCACAGGGTTGTGTGATTACAAAAATCTGTGGTGGCTTAACTGAATATGAAAGTAGAACAAAGATAAAATAACACAAAGTATGAACCATTAATTCAGGGAAAATCTAGCACTGTGATAAATGATGCCTATTCATGGATGTGTTTAAGTCATTGCTGAAATATAATGCCTGGGGCATGGAGAGGCAAAATAAGGAGGGATAAAGAGAGACCATTACTGCAAGACCATTTAACTCAATTAATATACTCCCATTATCACAGTTAGTAAAAGTAAACAGCAGATTTTCCAAATATCTCATTTTTATTCTGCCAATTCCAATACTTGCTATACTGCTGAAAACCCTGGCCTCTGGATGCAAAGAATTATATCAAATTCTCAGCTGTCATATTCTTCTCTCCCTAAAGCAGGCTTTAAAAATGGAAACTTGAAGCAAACTTACTTGAAACCCTCAAAACCAGGAGGCAAACAAAACCCACTGGGTTTTTTTTTATGCTATGACTTTCAGAAAATCTCCTGAGTGTTTTTGTTTTCTGGGTTTAATTATAGAAGTCAGAAATGCTGGAACAGAGGCTGTGTCAATGAACAAACTTATGCATCAAATTAATAAACAGTAAATTATTCATAACAGATGTAACTCTATATAAACAGAAATGTACATGGGGAATAAAATACCTGCAAGAAGATGATCAGAACAAGTTTTTTGCAAGATTCAGGAGGGCAGAAACCAAGCAGTACATTGATGTTTCTCAGTCCTGCATTTCCAGAGCTAACTACGGGTAGGAAACAAAACACTGCTCCAGTGGAACAGGTTTATTGTGAGCTATAGACAGCTGCTCTAACTCTTAGAGAGGCTGTCATTAAACTGCTGCTATTGTAAGGACTCTGCAGGCCTGAGTCAAACTAAACACAGATATGGGAGAGAATCAGGCTCATAGGACCTGCACCTTATAACTTAAATTTCAAGCTCCTCTAAAGCTATCTATCAACACTCTCTGAAACCTCTTCCTTTCATAGCCAAGTTATTAAGTGTTCCTAACACATGTTAAAACCTCTTGCTTTCATGGCCGAGTTATTAAGTGTTCCTAACACATGTTATATGTTTAAAAACCCAAAAAAAACTTGGTAGCAATTCTTTCTAACATACCATCTCAGTTTTAATTTACACTTCAGTGTATGTTATTAGCAGCTCAGGGCTAGCCAGGACTATATGTGAATTCACATATACTGATAAGAACACCACAAGCTAGGGAAAGGGCTTTCATGGCCGAGTTATTAAGTGTTCCTAACACATGTTATATGTTTAAAAACCCAAAAAAAACTTGGTAGCAATTCTTTCTAACATACCATCTCAGTTTTAATTTACACTTCAGTGTATGTTATTAGCAGCTCAGGGCTAGCCAGGACTATATGTGAATTCACATATACTGATAAGAACACCACAAGCTAGGGAAAGGGAAACATATGCAGCAATTTTATTTGACTGACTTCATTGCTATTATAGCCCTGGCCACTGCAGTTACAAGGAATGCAGAGTACCACAGGTTTGCAAGCACACAGCACACTGTGCTTTCTAATCCTAAGGATCCTAAGGATTGATATGGAAAAAGATTCGTAAATAAAGTGTATGCCCTGACCCTGACACCCCTGCATGGATGCAGAACATCTCATTTGTATCCCATACTTGACTTGAAAACCTGCATGGGAAAAACACTCAGAAAGATGTATACTCCAAAAGGAGGATGTTCTGGCACAAAGTTAAGGATTTGTGGATGGCTCTCAATGAGATATCAGCACTAATCCCATTCTCCCTTCTCTGTTCAAGCAGCAAATTAATTGGCACACGCACCTCACTGAGGATGTTTATGGCACACTTTGCAGACATACACAGCCAAAGGGGTCACATTTTAAACCTGTAAATTACTCACACATTTTATATGTTAAATAAAACTGTAGATTTATTGTACAATAGTACAGCATGTGCCTTTTTAACCAAAAGCTTAGCATCACACAACACTTTAATCTTCCATTAAATATACACAGTCCTACAACACAGCTCAGCTCAGCTAGGAAAGCTACATAATGAATTAATTTATTGAGAGTCCTGGCTACGCTGTTCTTAAGGATGTTTACCTAGAGCAAGAACAGTGGCAGTGGTTCTGGTGTTGTAACATGTAATCACTTTAATCCTTTTCTAAGCACAGTAACAGCAAGCAGTCATCTAGAGCACAACAAAGAGATCACTTATGGGACACCATACTTAAGCGCAAATGCATGAACAGTAGACCAGAGGATCTCACACACGTAATATAGGTATGGATGAGAAGTCTGTTATGAGATCACTTTGATGTAATGTCTGCACTAACTATGCCACAGGAAGACTGGATGCATGACAGGCATCATATCATGTAGTAGTGTAATTTAGATTGAAATTTGGAAGGGGCAGAGCAGGGTGTTCTGTACATACATACACTTGCCTTAGTACATCAGTTTACACTCCTGTAGCCATTTGCCCACATGCCAGCAGTCTCGTTATAACTCGTATACTTCAACTTTACCTGGCTCAGTTAATACCAATATCATTACTTCCAGACACAGAATGTGTTCTGTGCTACATCTTGGCCTTTCAGATGGTCATCAGCACCCAAGCTTGTGTAACCAGGCATCCTTTATGAGTGCTTTTGAGCACAGCTAACCAGAAGTTCATACCAAGAAACACTAAGACAAGATTCTTTATTTGCCCCAGGGGTTTCTCATTGCAATGAAGATTCAAAGTTCATTGCTGTATAACAACTTCCAGTAATTAAAGTTCCCCTGAAATTTGAAATTAAACACCTAGTAACCAAATTAGGTCCAGGTTACATAGCAAAGTGTTGATCAGAGAGAGGAAGTTTATGCTTTTTTATTGCTTATCAATGTATGTCAAACCTTAAGCCTGTTACTTTAAAGGTTCCAGTGCTACTTTTGTTAAAGAATTTAAATTTCTCTGAAAACAGTATTTTCAGTAAATTTTTTAATACTCAAAGAAGGTAAGCTTGGACCTTTCACCTGAACATGTGATTTTTCACTTATGGTAGGAGCATGACAGAGCATTGTTGGTTGGTTCTGAACCACATTGAACTCCTACAGCATAGCTAAAATAATATGCTTATCAAAACATAGATGGTGATACTAAAGAACCAGGGGAAGGAAATCTATATCAAACACCTGATCTTGAATTAAAATAGACCAACAATAGTGTACAAGCTTTCAACCAGAGGAGATGCTTAGCTGCTATGACAATAGCATACCAACAGTAGTTTCAGAAGAATTATACCAAACTTGCACCTATTATGGTCCATGCGTATACTCTGACTCTGCAAATTTCACTCATCTTAGCCAAAATACTAAAGCATGTTAAATGAAGTTTAAAAAAAAATAAAAGGGGAGCAAGAAGGATCTTTCTAAATCAAAGTTGCTTTTTGTATAATCTTCAACACTTGGGAAAATTTCACCACAATGAAAAAAATTTCACTTATCTGTATTGCTTCTAATTTTAGATGAGACTACACAGCAAAGAAACAAAGCTGGAAACAAAATCATTCTTGACTTGTGAGACTAAGTGCACAACCTCAGTAGACTCACAGTTCATTGTCTAAAACAGTAATATTTCGATAGCCTACAGAGAACAGATGAACTTTTGACTGATTATCTAGACATCAGTGAAACAAGTAAAGATTGTTGAAAAAGTAGTTATCTAATTAAAACAGACATCACCTGAAAGGATTTTTCTCTTGCTGCAAAACAAACACAAGCAGCATATCAACAAGACACACAAGCTCCTCTTCTCCACCTACTCAGAATTTTTAGTTTGGTTAATCAGTAATGAGAAATAATTAAAATCTAATCTTTGAATATTATCAACTGTTTAAGGAATAAAGCTTTGCTAACACCTGAATTCATTCTATGCCATCTTTAATAAGAGTTTACACAGATTCCTTCTGCTTACTAAAATGAAGTCAGCTTATATTTCTTACATATTTAAATAGCCCCAAGACCAGAGACATACAAAATGTTATATTGAATTTTAATCCTTGCAAAACATTATTACACCACACACTGTTATTATAAATCTTTTCAATAACATCCATTATAGAACTACTATGCACTGTCAAATATTTCTGGCAGTATTGGTAATTAACTGCAGCATATGTTTTTTTTCAAAATCAAGAGTTAACCTACATATTCTGAACTTGCAAATAATACACAACAGATTGTACTGTCATATAGGCTGTATATTCACTCATTTTTTTCTCATTTGTATATAAGAGTAAATTTCTATTACAATATGAAAGAAAATTAATAACTTATTTATCTACCTAGGAGGCTAGTAGTTATTTGTAATCATATTAATCAAAAGATGACTGAAAAATTCAAAGTTAATTATTGTGAAGTGCACAAAGTCTAGAATATAGGGAGTTTCCACAGTACATTATACTAAGTCAACATATAATAGATTAAAAGCTGGAAAGCCAAAATCCTAATTTAAAAATTTAGTGTTTCTGACATCATCTTCCACCATTCCATCAACTCTTCTTTCTCCTCTTCTTTTCTTTCAGACAATGACTCCAGTTCAAAATCAACCTAAGTAAGAGAAACAATCAAAAATGTCAGTTAGACTTGTAGAAAGAGAACAAGGCTTTTGAGAGTCATTTATTGCAAGAAGTTGCTTAACACAGACATGGGGCTTAGGGCAGTACCTTCTATTTTAGGCTAGGTTAATTCCAAAGTGTCTCAAGGCTGATATAAATATGTGCAATACCAGCATATCTATCTGATTGGCTATTCCCACATCAACCAATAAAAAAAGTTTAAGCATCTCAATATTACCCTTCTCTGTTTTTTTCATTAGAAGTAAGACCAGCAAGAAATTAAATGAGATGACTCTCAGTGGCTGGTGCATCAAGTACTAAAAGATTAGATTTCCAGACTTTCTACATTAGCATATTCTGGAATATTCTGAAAAATCACCTCCTACTTACAGGTACATCATGAAGGAAAAAAAGAAACCTTTTAAATATACAACAGATGATAAGCCAACACATGTGTGAGCACTTACCACAACCGCAGGGCTGAAGGGCACAGCCACTTTTTTAGTTATTGCTAGATAGCCTGGTGCTGAGGCCGTAAGTTTGTAATTTCCAGGCACAAGCAATCTCCAGTAATCACCATCCTTGGCTGTGGAGAAGAAAAAAATCCAAATAAATATATATTAGACTAAGTGTGTGTGAAAGATTCATGAAATTCTGCAGGCAACGAGCTTCTTGAGGCACAACATGCTTTCCTGGCTTCACAATTTTGCTTCCTTAAAGCGTCAGCTAAAAAGATGTGAAATGCTCCAGGTTGCTAAGCAGAGGAGGAGCAGTATATCCCAGCACTTCTTGTTCTGCTGAGGTTCCACACTCACCTGATGTAATGTCATGGGTTATCCCCTCTACAGAAATCGTAGCATTTGCTATTGGATTGCCCTGAAGATCTTTAACAAAGCCCTTCACTCCTCGATGAATCTAAAATAAATAAGGTCAACAACATGTGGTAAAACATAATATAAAAGCATAATATATGTGCACATTTTGTCATATTAGGGATTAATGACTGCACTGAAAAGCTTTGAAAGACAGCCTAAAAAAACAACTATGGTTATTCAGCTGATAAAATTTAGCTTAGATTCCTCTAATTTACACTGTGGGAGAAGCCCAAGGCAGATCAGCTTAGAAAATCAGAGAGCATGGATCTGCACTGTCCTCAGCAATCACTGGGGAGCTGGACCCCTTATCCTGCAAGAAGAGAAAAACTAAGGCCAAACAGACCATCTGAACTTCAAGGATAAAACCAGCAGCTCCATGGGAGCAAAGGAAGTTGGGAAAATAGTATCTTACACATGAGTAATTTTGAAAATGCAGTGACAATACAGTTTTCCGTGAGTCAGAGAAAATTAACCCATGTGCAAAGTAGATGAACAATTTGAGATGGATCCCATCATCAATGGGTAAAAATCTGCAGGGCAGGTACAGCTCTTTTGCCAACCCACATGTAACTTACTAACAGAGCAGTATGACTCAAATATTCAAACATTTCAGATTTCTGGCTAACTAAAGCATTTCTGCACAAAAAAAAGTTAATAAAGAATTTAATGCATTAACTGATCAGCTCTCTGTTTCTGATTTCACAGTCTCAGGTGTGCAGACATTAATGGTATCAAATATACTTGTAATCATTCACTACAATATTCAGGTTTCAGCAATTTGATACTCCTGCACTGCTTGGAACCATCATTTCAGTGCAGCCTGATACATTGGCACGAAATGATTTCAAAACAAAGAAAAATCAACAGCAAAAAAGAACCCCACGCTCCCCACCACACACACATAGATCTATTTAATGACTCTTATCTTCTAACAATCCATTAGCACAAGATTATCTAAATCCATGACAATACTTTACACTTCTACAAGATTTGGTATAATTATTAATGAAGTCATCACACTGACAGCTCTACATTGAGTATCAGCAGCTCAGGCAATCAGAGAGCAACAGAGTATTTAAAAAACCATGATTAGAGCTGTCCCACGACATTACACTGAACTGTCAGGCAGGTACAGTCTAGTCCAGCTGCTTAGGTTCCCTGAACATCCACAGAGTGATCCATCCCCTGTCTGTACACGCACACTTTCCTATCAGCAGAGGGCAATCCATCTCTCTCAGTATATACACTAGTGCTGGGAGAGCAAATTACATCTGGGGATGTGTATTTCTTTTCACTGAGGAAGCTAATACAAGTGATTTCAATTAAATGTCCGCAACAGCTTAAGTCAGGTAAGATGAATTCCATAGTGTAACATCTTCCTTCTCTTCCCCTTCCACTTATTTAGAAATATCCAACTGGACTCACCACCTTAGAGACAGGAAAGAATTACGTAGCAACATCTTGATTAATATGAAGTTTTGAATTAGATGTTCACTTGGCACAAGTTTACAAGTTTTATGTAAAATAACCAGAGTTTTGCCATCCTCCTTTGTGTTACCTGCTCAATGTAATTGATGAGGGAGTTCTTGTTGTCCTCCCAGTAGCCCTTCAGAGTTTCTTCAGGTGGAAATTTTTCACAGCTAAGCTCCACTGTGATTTCAAAGCAGTTGGTGCTGAGGTAATTGAAATCCTGCATTCCACACCAGAAAAGAGAGTGTGATGCATTTTGCATTGTCCTGAAGTAAATAAAGGGGGACATATAAGATGCTGAGACTATTAAGAACATCTATAAATACAATAGGTGCAGTTCCACTTAATCTGTTTAGTTTTGAATTCAGAAGCTTTAAATCAGAGAAACCAACAGGACAATTAATTCCAAAAACCATTTTCTTCCCAGGGAAAGTTTAGAAAAGACCTGATACACGGCCTGTGTACTTCTACTTGATGCTGTATCTGCCCTCTATACTCCTACCACAGACATTTTTGGATGGCTGACATGGAAATTAATTTTTTTCTCTTCAGGAACAGAAACTTTTTTCAGATCATGGCTAAAATATATCCATATGAAAAAAAAAAGGATTATCACTTCATAAGCCAAGAAGAATGACAATAATAAAGCAAATTTGACATAATAAAGTGATACTGAAAAACAGATTCATAAAGATAGGTCAAAAATGTGTTGAGCTGTGTTCTGAAAACAGCTTTTCAAATTAGTAACATTTTACATGAAAAACATCTGTTTGTCAAGATTTTCTGCACAGGTTCTAATTTTTTTACACAAAAAAATACATATGAAAACTTCTATAAACTATTTACATGAAAGTTCTTCTATGGATAGGGGTATTTCCCCACCTACTCAATACCTCTGCAAAATCAATACTAGATAGCTTTCAAGAGGGAAGAGTTGTCAATGCAACCTCAATCACAGAAATTTAAAAATATATGTAGTAGCATCATCACTAGGAATAAACATTTGGTGGAAAATACGTACTCTCTTACATTTCTGAGCCCCTCCTCTTACTACATGGATATATATTGGCTGTTTTCCCAAATCACTCCATCAATAACCAGAGGTTTCCAGTTTTATAACTGGATCAGCCAGCTTGGAGAGGACTGTGGCTGGACAGAAGGGTTCTAAGTATATTCTTTGCAGAAGCCCATGTAGAACTATCCCTTGCTTTCACAGTCTATCTAGCTAACAGAGTCAGTGTATTCTCAAATGGATGACTGAAAAGAAAAAGGCTATCAAGCATTTTGAGCTCCTCCACAAAGGTTCACTGAGGAATTTAAAAGTGCTTCTAAGGCAACTGATTCATTCAGCTCTATGTTCCTCCATACAAGACCTAATGCAGTCTCTTTACCAAAGCACTAGTGTTGTTCACTGGTACATAACTGTCCAGAAAGCTCATGTCATATCCAAAAGAGAATCCTGAGGGCAGCAAACAGATTGAGTCAGGTGGGATTTTGACAATGCATTAGGATGGAGAGTCTATTTTCTGCCAATCAGGCAACAAGACCACTAACTACTGATAGGAACAGAGACTTTTCAGATTGCTAAAAATTTTTTTTTTTTTCTAAACCATTTTGGATGGCTGGAAAATGAGGACACAGAAGGCAAAGGTGCTCTTGGGAGGGATGGCTCTGATGTTCCAACAGACAGAACACTAGACAGACCATTCAGCAGAACTCAGCAAGAGAGCAATGGAGCCATGAGTAAAATCCTGACAGCAGTGCTGACTGCCAGGCATCTGTTCCAGATGCTAAATAATGCTCCTTCTCTTGATTTTTTAATTTCTTCTAAAAGAAAGATGAATGAATGAAGAGAAGAACTGGGAGCTAAAGGGCATGATGTAATTTTACTGTGGTACCAACATCTATCGACCATTACTGTTCCAATTCTCAGGAAATTTCTCCCTCGCCCCAAGGTATTACTCAGGGGTGCCCTAGTTTCTCTAGAATGGAATAAAAAAGCAATATTTGCCAGCTTTATGCACAATGTCCATATCCTGTAGTTTGTTTCCCAGCTCCTGTCCTGGTCCACAGTTTATGTGTTGCTCCTGAAAAACTTCGGCTTGCATCACTGAACTGCAGGTGATGATCTGAAACTCTGGGACAGAGAATGGGGTAAGGATGGCATAGATCTAAACTGTGGCCTACAACATATGCCATCTGGAGTGCATCAGGCTGTGTGCTCTTTACCTCCCCGTTCAATATGGTGATTAGTGCAATATCCAAGAAATCAATACATTTCTAAAGATTTGTTCAACATTGCAGCAACTTTGCTGCCACTAGTCAGATCTTCTGCCTGCCTTACACCTTCTTGTTATGCACATGGTATCACGTGCATGCACATCATCGCACTCCCAAAGCCTCTCATTTTAACAAACTACAGCAGTAACTTTCTTCTACTTTCACAGGAACGACTCTCTGAAGATCAGAAAGGCTTAGCAAAGCTCAGAAATAACTGAGATCCAGCAATGAATGCCCTTCATTGCTGACCATGAGAACTTTAAAACTGAGAACAGAAAGACTCTGTTGCACTGCTCCAGTGTCTTCAAAGACTACAGTGTCTCTATGTTACTGCTTATATAAATAAGCTTAGAGTATGGGGGAAAATTAATTTCTTTAGGTTTTACCAAAGGAATGACAAGCTTCACAAAGAAAGTGGAGTGCAGGGTGTGTCCCTGGTATCCATGCTTAAGACTTTAATTACAAGCTACAGCACGGAGCTAGTTCAGCTTCTAGACAGAGAAAGACAGCCACCTTTAATGGGACAGGATGAACTTGAGCCTCATGCATATTGGGGAGAACATGTGCCTCCTACATGTCATGTATGAAATCCTAAACACTTCTTCCAAAACTGGTAATTCAAGTTAGGAATTAGTTGAGTGACAGGAGTGATTTATCTGAAAATAATAAAAGACACTTAAACAATAGTCTACTAGTACAGCAATGTAAGCTGCTTTGAATAGCTATTTTTGCAATGACACGAATCTGATTACACTCAGGTGACTCTTTAATGACAGACCAAGCAGAATAAGCATGTGGCTAGGTAGTAATTCACTATTATCTGTTCTTCTCATTTATAGTCCCAAAAAGATACTCCACATAAAAGGTACATTAAAAAACCATCAGGGATGTTGAAAAGTTATGCACTCAACAGCTAAGGAAATGCCAAAATTAAACCTATTTGTGCAAATTTAATTTGGCTTTCTTGTGCATAAGTGAAATCATTAATTACATGCTGATGCTGATGACTGGGAGAAGAACTTTGCTAAAAACAGCATGGGTTTTGTGTACAGACTTGTTTCTCCCCAGAGTCTGATGGCTTAAAAGGCTTTCCTGAACATAGAATGACCTCTTTGCCTTTGCTTGCTGTCTCTGAAAAACCTACAGGGATCAACTACTTAAAGATGACAAATAGTACAAGTGTAACAGGCATCATGGCAACAGATTTAGCACAAAGGTGCTGTTGGGGGGAGCTATTTTCTCTGTGCCTCTGCTCTACAGAAGGAAGTAACTATTAAACAAGCAAATGTGCAAAAAACCTCACAGCAAAGTGTATTAAGAGAGAAGAAGGTGTCAAATATTCCTGTACATCATCCCCTCTCTCCATCCCAAAAGCCCAAAGTCTGAAAGGAAAACTGTCACCTTGCATAAAATTGGTAAGGAAATCCTGAGGTCAGGCAAAAGGGAAGGACAGAACATGAATGCAATGATGTGTTCATCCTTACTTCCAGTTTGAGACAAGGATTGCTACCAGATGTTTCTGCCACCAGACATTCAGCCTTCCTACTGAGAGAACCCAGGTATGCAGAAAAACATGAAAAAGCAACTCATAGTCACATGAGAGTGCCACCCATGTATTAGCCTTGCATATTGAGGATCCAGTTAAGATTGCTGTTGGCTCACCACGCAATGCTGTCTTTTACAGAAGGTACAAATTCCTGTGGGTGAATGACATGGGCAAAGAATTGATGCTGCACAACTTGGGGCACCATAATAATCTCTATAGGGCAACAGCACCTTTAGTAATTCATTAGAATGAAAATTCATCCTTTTCTAGGTCAGAGCTGTTGGTCTGATGAGGTACTGCCAAAGGCAACATCTAGGAGATGACTGGGAATAGATACAAAATGGGCGAGAGTGGGTACTGGATCTGTGATTGGTAGATAAAGGAATGCGTAGCTTTAGCAGATGAGCAGGAAAGGAAGGAAAAAGGAGAAAGTGGGGGACAACAGCCCATAGCAACCCAAAAGAGAAGCACCACCTTAGCTCTGATAGGAGCAGATACCACAGAGAAAAGGTCTTTAGAGTTTCTCTTGATAAATTCTGAACTCTGGTTAAGGATATACAGTGGATTACTTTTCCTAAAGCAATTCAAATAGCTTTTCAACAGCTTCTGCCACAGCTAACTTTGTGTGTGTTACCATATGCATAGCAAAAGGTCACTGATACAACCCACAACATAATTGCCTCATTTCAGTTTCCGGACAGAGCTTTTCAAACTAAAGATTCCAAGAAAATTTTCACTTGAACTAAGCAGTGTTTAGTTATTTTTCTTAGCACTAGACATGGAGAGAACAATTTTACTGATTTATATTTGTTTTTTTAAGTCAGCCTGTGGCAAACACTACCATGAAAGTTTAGTTCAAAAGTCATGGCTCGTCAGCTGATTTCTACACTTGGGAAAAAAAACAAAACACAACACAGCAGATTCATGTTGTACGGTCCAAAGTATATTGTCATCTCTCTATTTTTTATTAGCTGCACCATATTAGGATCATAGATCCTGCTTAGAACTAGGATTCTTGCCTACTAAAGTTTGTATAAACACATGAGAAAAAGAGTTCACCTGGGGAATTTGCAGTCTAACTTAAAATGAGATCCAAAAAGATTGAATAATTCAAACTTTCCAAAAAGGTTTACCCAATGGAAAAATGTGCCTTTGGCATGTGCAGTTTAGTCAGAATCAAAGCATTTCATCAAAACAATGGAAAAACTGGTTTTCATAGCATTTTCCTAAGGAAAAAGAAGCTAACTTACACATGGACATGTTTTTATAGTTAATATTTAATATTTAAGATAATTTTTTGACTGAATTGAAAGAAATTTTAACTATTAAACCTCTCAAAATTTTGTTTATATTACTTTTTTTCAAGTTTTTCAACTTTTGTTTTGTCAAGACTATTCTAATTCAAAGTCTGTGGAAAGCCTCACACAAAGGGAAATTTTTGCTCTTCAGTTATATTCAGAAATGTCAATATTCTACTAGGTTCCTGTTACCTAGTACCTGTGGTACCACAAAGGAGGAAATATGCTGTCCCTGTGAAGATTGGGAATAACAGCTCTAAGAATAAACTGGTGATCGCTGGCTTTGCGAGCACTACCAGTCATTGTTCTGTTTCTAATTTCTTCACATAAGCTTCATTATTTTATTCTTCTAGTACCCCTTTTACATAAGAGAAGCAGAGTTAGGCTACCACTTAGGCTTTGAAAGATTCCTACTCACTCCAGGTACAAAGTTAATATTCATTCTGAGACTGTAATTGAATATTAAAAGGAAAGCAAACAATAAAACTTATTTGTGTGTTCAAAGTTATCTGCTATAAATCAACAAAGCCAAAAGCACAGGCAAATCACTCCAATGCAAGCTGAATTTCTAGGTCACAAATCTCCAGCTCAGTTTTCACTCCAAGTTTAGCAGAGACAGAAGACTGAGAGATTTAGGTATCTCAACAGTTATTTGCCTCAGTTTACAAAGAAAATGACATATCAAAATTCTTAGTGGCAAGGAATGAAATGTCTCATTTGAACAAAATGTCTCATTTGAGGCTACATGCCTCGTGGAAAATCAGTCTGGATGTGCTCACAGTAGCTCTGCTGTTCCTCTTAGCACAGAAGGCTCTACCAAAGTCTAGGGGAACAGCACCTAGGCAGGAATCAGGCACTAACCAAGCCACAAAGTATGGAGATGCAAGTATCTTCATGGCTGGTTTTGTTCCCTCTGAAATCAAAGGCCAAACTGCTGTTGTCTGTAACACTGCAAAACCAGGCCACCCCACATCCTTCAGGAAGCCTTCACTATTGAGGCTTAAATGAACCATCAGTAACCTACTCTCATCAGGGTTTGTCAGTGATTTTTTCAGTCTTTTCATAAAAAACATCCCAGACCTTAAGCTCTCATGATAGCAGAGCAACCATTCGCCCACTGCAGAACTATTAAATTTGCAATGACATGAACCCTGACTGATGGAACACTGTGGAAAAAGCAATAATAAAGAAATATTTTAACAAGCATCACCATGAGCTTCATGGGATTTTATAGATGTACTGTGATGAGTGATCAGCCTTTGATTTAGCCTCAACCAGGCCAAAAGTTGTGGATAACATAACTCAAGCTCGGAACAACCGATGAAATGGAACCCCCAAGCAGTGGGGCTCACCTCCCGGGACACTGTACCATGCACCACCATTGGTGGTTCCATCCACAAAGCTGCTGTCATCATCATTTTTACGACACGGTGGTCTATTTGGATCAGACATAGCAGGATTAAAAGCAGAATAACTGCGAGCCAGGCTTTGAAAAATAGCATCATCAGGGCAGGGGCTGTATTCATGAGCAGTGCCTAGGGAGGTAAAACAGACCAGGAACAAGTATTATTAAAAGGGCTCACAAGCTAGATTGCCAGCACTGCACACCAGAACTGTACCTGCAAATTCTCTGTGCACAGGTAAGTGTCCTGTAGCATCACAAGATAATTAATATACTTTTATCTTAAGAACATTAACATTTTCCCAATAATTTATCAATTGTCTGTACCAGGTTGCTTTATTATTAAAGTGACCAATCATATCAGTCTTAATATTTATGAAAATACTAATTTAAAAGTGTACCAGAAAACCTAAGCTTTTCTAGGTTTTAGATATCCTTTTAGAAGTACACACAGTACAAAGACACAGGTCTCTTCCTGAAGAGTTTTATGGTTAGATATCAAAAAGATTTGCAATTATGTGAGAAAGTAGACTTCTCACATACAGAATCACAAACAGTATCATGACTTCAGATATGTGCTTATCCCCTAGTAGCAGAAAAAACAAACAAATATTGGTGTGTACTAATGACACCATCTCCGTCACAATGTGATCCTTTTAATAAGGGACCAATACTAAGAAAGTGGCAACAATGATGGATTTTTCTCTTAGCAGACTTAGCTTTCAGAAATTAATTTTTTAAAGGTGCAAGAAACCTTAGCCTAGACACATCTTTCTCACTTCATTTAACAGGGTACAAACAGCTCCAGCTAATTTAAGAGTTAAGCTACCTTGACTAAAGTATCTGAGGGACCATGAATCCCTCAGGTATTACATCATTTTTTGTGATGTAAGTCTACTGAAACAAGCTATCACCTTCAAAACTAGAAAACATGGTCATAGAATGACTACCTTTAAACATGTGATTAATATGATAAAACAAGTCATTACAATGCAATGACATGATGTTTACAAAGTGGACTTTAGCTAGCAGAGAAATAAGTATAGAAAGAGATTTCCATCACCTACTATTTCATCTTAACTTCTCTTTACATACCAGTCCGAGTCTCATCATAAGGATAGTTCGCAACGAGGTCTCCTCCATGAAGATTGGCAGAGAGCACAAAGGGAATATCCATAATCCAATGAATGACACCTTTTGTTTCAGGAGCAAGCTAAGACAAAATTGCATGACCAGCAGTTACAAATTGATAATTCAATGTAGAAACATTCAATTAAATACAGTGGGCTTAATTATTATCACATATATTGTGCCAGACAGTTAAATGAGCAGCACGCTTATTTTCGCTTCAGAGAGAACTAAATCAGCCCTTTACATTAGATTTATAATTAAATTAAGTAGATTAAGTCTAAAACTGGTGTAAATTAGCTCAGAATGAGACTACAATTAAAGCTATCTCAATCTTTTACTTCTCCCCAGTGTGGATAAAAAAAGCCCACCGAATTTTAAACCAAGGAAAATAAACTAATGCAAAATAAATGTTGGTAGGATGCAGCCTACTCTCTGCATGGAAAGTAAAACTAGTTTATTTAACCATTTGAAGACAGAATATAGTTATTAAGGCCACAGTCCTATGAGACTGCAGTCACAACACTATTTCCTAGAACCTCCTCTGGGGGTAAACACAAGCAGCTAAAAATCCCTCCAGATACATGGCTGTATACTGAAGGCTTAAGCTTAACAAAAATGCATGTGTTATATGTGAGAACAACTATCCAGCCAGCAACGCAATTAAGCACAATACACAAGTGAATTTCTGCCAACAGTAAAAATGCAGAATATTTACAAGAATAGCTTCAAATCAAAGGAGAAGGCTACACAAAAAAATATAAAACATCTTTTGACTGAGGAATTGTCTGAGGATGAAGCAATATGGATCAAAAGAATTTACTACAGCAAGCCATTTTGAGGAAAATACAAGAAGCGTCAGATGGATAAATATAACAAAATGAAATATTCAGAAGAAATTGAATCATAAAGACCATACACACAGCTCTTAGAGGTCACTGCGTGTTTGCTTGCATAAAAGGGAAGAGATGAGCATCTATGTGGCCCGATATTCATCCCCTACTTACCTTGGGATTCTGGTCCACAGCTTTTTTCAGGTTTTTCAGAAGGTGGTTGTTTGGGCCACCTTCTTTCTCATTAATGTAGACTATTCTATCAAGATCGGGAAAATTTCGGTTTAGATCTATCCCTTGGGCATTACTTCGACCAACAAACCAGTCTTTAAGTTCACCAGGCTGAATGAGGAAAGGGAAGAGAAAGAGGTATGAGAGGAGTAGGTTCAGGTTACATATCAAACTTTATATGGGTATAAGTGTGTTTACTTCTCATGTGCTAGAGAATAAAAAGGATCATATGGTAGCAAAAACTTTTGAAGCACCAAGAGCTGAGTCATGCCTATTTCTTCCTAGAGCTCTGTGGGAACAAAACCAATCTCTATTTCACTGAGGGTCTTGGAACAGAGGATTATCCTCAGAGTGGCACACTTGGACAAAGGGTGGGCCAAATTTCCAGCAGTATCAGATTTTCAGTAACAGCTGTGTCTTCCTCCAAGACTTGGCTTTTCCCCATTGCCTCATGCCCATAATTGTAAATTACAGACCTACTTTTAGCAAGACTCAGAGCAGCTGTAGATTTATCCACGAGCCACATGGAATGTTCACACTTGTTTCAAAGTTCCTCTAAATGTTTTCAGGGTAAAGAAGGACCTTAATCTTTACTCAAGACTTTTACTTTTGTTGTGCCTGCCAGCTGTGTTCACTGAAATGGTAGCAATGAATAAAGATGCAATGAGAATTTTTGCAAAATCTTTTCTTTAAGCTAATTCTCTAAAATAAGTTTTGGTTGCAATAAGAAAATGCCTTCAGGATGCATAGTTTTTCCTAGCTTGTCTCTGGAAGCTTTCAGTACTCTTTAAAGGAGGCTTAGTTTGCTTACTGGTTTTAATCTTGGGGTACATTGAATCTACTGTCACACATTGTGTACAGGATCAAGATACTTCTAAATTAGAATAACAGCAGCACTAAAGCAAATTGCATTATAAATCATATTTAACTTGTAAGGCAACCAAATAAAAGCAGGTGTACTTTGGCTAAAGAGCAAAAGTTTCAAATATTACAGAATCTCTACAGAGTAAAATACTGCACCAGTTTGAGGACAGCTTCTGCTTCACTGCCACAAGAGGGAGATGTACGACTGAATATAGTTTAAAATAGGTCTGTTGGGTTTTTAACACTTCATGAGCATCATTTTAATAAAGACCTTAATAAGGTTTTACTTATTTAATCATAAATAAATAGTCACATGAAAGGTTTCAAAGTTTCCATATTCATTTAAAAAAAGAAATTCACCTTTCAAACAAGAAAATTCTTGTTTTTGTTTAGAATGTGATACACACCAGAATCTATATAACAGGGTCCTACCTGGCTTCCATTTGCTAATTTTGCATTCACACATTATGTGTTTTGTGACTGACTCATCATCCTAAAATGCATACTACATTTTCTTGACTAATAATGTAAAGTACCTTACGCCCAAAATTTAGAATGAAAGTTCTTTACATTAAAAAGATGGCTCACAAAATGTGTTGCTTTGGGATGAAGTTATGATGAACATGAATAATTCTTGTAAGTGCATTTACACAAGAATATTCTTAGAAAACATCAAACTTCCCTTTTCTAACACTTTTGAAACATCATGTATTACTAGAAGTTACTTGTTCAGGAAGCAGTCCAGTCAGTGAACTTAGACAAAAGAATATGCACCAAACATAAGCATATTTTATCTTATGTTTATATTTTAAACTGCAGTAAACTCACAAGAGAGAAGGTTATTTGTTGAAAAGTCAAGGATAAAATCCTTGTTAAACAGAACAAGCCTACTGTACTACTAGGAAATACTTGAAGTACGTTGTTCCATTCAACAACCACCACCGATCACTAGCAACACAACTGCTAGTCCAAGTGACAACATGATCTTAGGGCTGACATAGACATTGATAACTATTCTTATACACACAGCCTTACAAACCTGGGACGCTGCCTTCTCAAAACCATCTGGGTTCAAAGATGGCATGATATGGATCCGTGTGCTGTGGATCAAGTTGATAATAGTATCGTTTCCTTTCTGGTATTCATTACACAAGTACTGAGCCAGGAAGATGAGTAACTCCCTTCCAACAGCTTCATTCCCATGCATATTCCCAACATATTTAAATTCTGGTTCTCCTGCAAGAAAAAGTAAGAGCATGTCTTAGAACAACATATAAAAGTCACCCATGGACTAGATCATACAGCACACCTGAGATGTGAGTATGACTGTTACTACAGCTGGGCACAGTATCTCCAAGAAGCTTCAAACCTTCTTCAGAAAAGTGGATTTAGGTTTTCTTCTAAACTCTGACTAAAAAACTACTAATTAATATTCAATTGTTTGTCAAAGGGAGAGAGAAGACCAGAGGACAACACAGTGTGCCAAAATAAATGCTAAGTCCTGACATTAACATTGCTACTGTTGAGATCTAATACAACTGACACCTCAATACTACAAAAGTGTGCCTTGATTAGGCAATTTTTAAATATATAAATTGACACTAACAGAGCTTCTTATCTTTAATGTTCTCTCCAAGATTACATTAAGCTTTTTGCACTACATATGCATTAAACTGCAATTCTTTCACAAAAGCATTGCCAGGGAACAGCTGTTGATTGTAGTGATCCAAAAATATCTTACTCAGCAGATGTTTTGGATATTCAGCTCAGACTTGATGAAGCAAGTGCAATAACCTAATTCACAAAACTAATCATTTCCATTTAGCAGTCAAATAAACAGCATTAAATATATGCTTAATATTCCATATATAGTAATCAATTGATTATTATTATATAAAAAAAAAAGTAAATTTAATACATATTGTATAGTCATATATAATAAACAATGTTCAATATATATATATTTATACATATATATACACACATATTTATTCTCTATATAAATAAGCCATCCAATATTCCCAATTGCTCATTAGTCTCATTCTCATAACCATGAACATTAAACCCACACAAGATATGTCTCATAGTGCAGTGAAGGATTTACTTTTTTTAAGACTACATTTTGAGCCTAAGTCCAGAAAGGTTTTAGTGTACATGTAAATAACTGAATGAGATTAAAAGGATTGTCCTGGAACAAATGTAAGGAATATATAGTTTTCTGAGCTGAAGGTCCTTTTCCCTTATCTTTTTCCTTTTACAATGCAGTTCAGTTGTAACTGCTTTAATCAAACAGTCAGCTGATTATAGGCCCTGAAACTCTTCAAACACACTTTGTGATAGCCTTTAGCACTATTAGAGGGGCAAATTCA